TTTTTTTGAGTTGAAAAGTGGTCTTTTAAAATGCAAATGCCTAACAGTAAAGGTATGTCAATAATATATGGCTTTCAGTAAGGCCACAGTCTTTTTTTTTTTTTTTTTTTTTTGAGATAAGATCTCACTTTGTTGTCCCAGCTAGAGTGCAGTGGCAAGATCTTGGCTCACTGAAACCTCCAACATCCTGGGCTCAAGCAATTGTCCCACCTCAGCCTCCCAAATAGCTGGGACTACAGGTGTGCCACCATGCAAGGATAATTTTTGTATTTTTTGTAGAGACAGGGTCTCACTATGTTGCCCAGGCTGGTTTCAAACTCTTGGGCTCAAGTGATCCTCCTGCTTCAACCTCCCAAAGTGCTGGGATTAGAGGTGTGAGCTCCTGCACCTGGCCACCACAGCCCTCTTGAGTTTACCAATAGTATTAAATGTTGACTTACAAATTTTTCCAATTTACTCTTCTGTCCAGACCAATGTATCATTTTCCATAATCATATGGAAAGTTCCCTGGACACCATTTTCCAGGTCAATCCTGAGAACCAAAAATAAAGTTGTCACATACATACGATGCCTTACCTATCATATTGCATTCTAGCTGGTGGTTTTTTTGTTTTTGTTTTTGTTTTTAATCATTGGTTGGATTATAATAAATCAGACATTGACAATATTGCCAAGATGGGGATGGGTATGTTTTCAGCCTGAGAAAGATCTGTTGGTCTCTTACTATCTAGATTCTCATTCCTCAGGTGAGGCGCAGTGGCTCACACTTAAAATCCTAGCACTTTGGGAAGCTGAGGCAGGAGGATCGTTTGAGCCCAGGAGTTTGAGACCAGCCTGGGCAACACAGTGAGACCATGTGTCTATAAAAGACAAACACATTAACTAGGCATGGTGGCATGTGCCTGTAGTCCCAGCTACTCAGGAATCCTAGGTGGGAGGATCACTTGAGCCCAGGAGGTTGAGGCTGCAGTGAGCTGTGACTGTACCACTGTACTCTAGCCTGGACAACAGAGTGAAACTCTATCTCAAAAAAAAAGCTTTTCATTCCTCCCATGTCAAGGATTCCCACTGGCTGCTTCTCTTTAATTTATCCCCGAATGACATAAAAAATTTACTACCAAATCATGTTCCTACCCTCCCATCAATTTTCCTATGGGCTTACTTTTTAGAAGGAATGGGTGTAGAATATTATCCCCTCTGTCTTGGAAAAAAAATATAAGCCCTGCATAAATGAAATAATTAGTTTTGTGGGTTTTAATAACTTTTAACACTATGATTATAGATAGTGTTATCTTAGTTACCTGCTGTATCACATTCTTATCTTTATGCATGTCAATTTTGACAATTATGAATATGGAAGGTAATAATTACTATACAACCTGTGTCTATAAATAGACATTTAAATAACCACCATTGCTAGTGACTTGTCTATCATAGCTATAATGAATAAACTCATTTGTCATCATCATTTTCTGTTGGATGAATATTGTTAAAAAAAAAGAAAAAAAAAAGACATGGCTTTGCTGACAACCTTCAACAAAAACTGATCCATTCAGTTTCTCTCTAGAGTAATAATTATGTTTTCTATAATTATAATAATTATGTTTTCTGGTATTTCTATGTGCTGTTTTGAGGGTGTTCCAGGGAAAGATTTGTATGCGCATCAAACAATGAATCAAAAAGTACGGGAACTTAAACTCTGCATAGGATTGTTCTATAATTGATGATACTTTGAACAATATGAAACAATTATATTGCCTTGTTATCAATGGAAGATAACATGCACGGGGAATCATAAACATTACAGCTGATACATTTAAGAAGTGTCTTAAGCGTGAATATGGTTAAGTCCTTATAAAAATATTTTTCAAAATATTTTCTCTAATATGTTGAGAAATATCAGTAATTTATAAGCCTTTTAAAGTTAAATGAAAAAAGTTGTATCTTTGTGAAGCTCTCAGGTTTTAGCATTGATAGTCCATCAGACTATAGGGGAATAAAATCGAAGAGTGAAAAAAAAATTTTCTGAAGCATTAAAATGCACATGCACTGGGAAACATTTAGTTTCAGTGCAAGCTTTTTATCGTGGTCAATCATTCCCACTTGAGGGTTTTTGACTGCAGTTTTCCCAGCACAGAGACATAAATGTGAGGCCATTCGTTTGGAGGAGTGGGGGAAGTAATTAGCCTATCTCATATATCAAGCCGTCTATATTTTCTATGACTGCACGAGGCGTTGTAGAGAAATTCTCTGGACCAATAGAATCCTCAGGAGACAAGTGGGGGAAGTCGCGTATACAGAGCAAGTTCTCCCAGAGAACTCGATCGCCCTCTAGGTTGCATTTACAAACAGTTCGCGAGGCTACTCTGACCACTTGGCCACCAGGGAGTAAGAGGAAAGGGGCCGGATTCCTCCCAGTAGGAGGACTATCTGGACCAAAGAAAGAGGCTGGCGACAGGAAGGAAGGACAGATCAAGCGTTTGAATAGCAGCTACAGGGCAACCTAAAGCCTGTGCAGTGTTAACAGGCGCGCGTCACAAACAGCTCCCCCGTCTCCCCCTCCCCCCAAGCACCCCTCCGCCGTGTGTCACCTTCCTGTTCGGAAGTCTTAGTAGGTTGCTGGGACAGAACAGGGGGCGCCTGCTCCACCCATCAGGTATCCGGTTGGAAGAAAAGCCAGTCTCAACAACTTGATTCTCTCGGTTAAATGATAAGTTTAGCCGACCATCCGTCTCCAAGTGCTGAACATTAGGGTAGGGGAGGAAGGAGCACATCAGACGTTCCCTTTCTTTTCCAACCACAAATCATACGATTGCATCTATTCTCTATTCCGCGTAGAGCCTTCCGACTTGAATTCCACGTTCCTCCCGGAATGCATGCCACAGAGCCTCTTTGAGAAAATGAACCCTGTGCATGTGTTTTGAATTTTTTCTGGACTGATTTGTGAGGATAATCAGTTAAGTTACATTTCTTGTGTGTCGTGCTGGGGGTGAAATAAAGCTAGGACGCTGATGACTGTAATTTTCTGAGTGATGTTGCAATGGGGAGAATAAATGGCCCAGGGTTGAACTTTGCAGCTTGCTCCCTTCCTGTATTTAAATTGCCTTGATATAAAGTGGGGTTCATAACAGAACAGGGATAGCCGCCTCTGGCTCGTGCTCTCATGTCATCTCAGAGCTTCCAGCTTATCAGAGGCATGTAGCAGGGAAGCCTACTTCAGCCATAACTGAGCTCTACCTCCAGCCTCCAGAAGTAATCCCCAACCTGCATATCCTTGGGCAACCCGAAGAATGAAAGAAGAAGCTATAAAATCCCCTTTGAAAGGTTCGTACTTACAGTACTATATTTTGCAGATGCCTCAGAGGATTTGGGGTTACTTGACATGGGGAAGGCACATAAGGTGGGGTGTAGGAGAGGGTCTCTGGTTGTAGATTTCTTAATTTAATGTTTGAAAACAAACATGCAAAAGTCTGTGTGCAGGTTGATGTTTCTGGACAGCCTGAGCACAATTTGCTCTCTCAACAGGAGACGGAACCAGGTGGGAGCAGGGCTAGGCTGAGCTAGGCTAGTTGAATGGTGGGACATGACGTATGGGTAGCATTGGTAATAACAAAGTCATATTCTATGACGATTCCGTGCAAAAGGAAGCAGACATAGGCCAGTTACTGTGATTTGAAATTGCCTAAACATTGCTTTAGGTTGGCATGTCAATTTCAGGTACTAGTAAGTGCTTTTTTAAATTTTATTTTATTTTTATTTTTTGAGACGAGTCTCGCTCTGTTGCCAGGCTGGAGTGCAGTGGCACGATCTCGGCTCACGGCAACCTCCGCCTCCCGGGTTCAAGCGATTCTCCTGCCTCAGCATCCCGAGTAGCTGGGACTATAGGCGCACACCGCCACGCCTGGCTAATTTTTCTATTTTTAGTAGACACGGGGTTTCTCCATGTTAGCCAGGATGGTCTCAATCTCTTGGCCTCGTCATCCACCTGCCTCGGCCTCCCAAAGTGCTGGGATTACAGGTGTGAGCCACTGTGCCCGTCCCCAGTAAGTGCTTTTTTTAAAGTGTGGGCACTAAGAAAACGTTCCCAGCCAGACTCCAGGAAAGAGAATGTGTGTTTCTCTTCTCTCGGTTTGGGACTGTTGCAACAAAGCAAACCAAGAAGCAGTTGAGACTGGAGATCACTTTAGGGCAAGTGGGGGTGGTTTTGCCTGCAAAACAAACCCCTGCCCAAGACCAAGGAAAAGGCGTTTCACATGCTATTCCTGGTTTGACAGCTGGTATTTCGAGACTGTGCCAGATCCAGTAGGCAACTTTAAAATGGCAGAGCCCTTGGCAGCAAGAGGTCATGGCAGGGCAGCCACCGCAGACAGCAACAGCGAGCGCCAGGTACCTGGCCTTGCGAATAGTGGTAACTTGTAACTGCCTGCTCTGGGCCCAATCGCTGCGCTCGCGGCTTCCCAGCCAGCACTGGCTCACGTCCCCGCGCCGGCGGTCAGCCTGCGGCTCCCAGACATCCCCCAGTCGCGGGGTTACTGGAAGGCACCGGCATCGCTGCTCTGCAGAGCCCGGGCGGCCGCCTCCAGCTTCCCTCCCTTCCCTGCCCGGCCTTCTGCAGCGGGGTCACCCGGCTAATCTTTCAGGATAAAGTCACAGTTTCTGTGGGACTCGAGAGAAAGAGCGAGGTGGCAAAACGAAGACAAGCCCTGGGGCAGCCTTGAGTTAAATCCAGGGAGGAGTAGGGATGATTTTAAGATCATGTATCGTGACCTGCAGGGTTTTGAGGTCGGAGAGCGGGAGAGAAGCAGGCTCCATAGAGGAATCGAGGATGCCCGGGTCACGCCAGGTCGGTCTCCGGGCAAAGCTACCCCCTCCCTTCGCTTGTTACCTCCTCACGTGTTCTTGGCATGGCAGAGATTAAAAATGCAAGGAAAAAAATTACATGCGGAACGGACAAAATGTTCTCAGAGATTAGTTTAGAAAAAAAAAAAGTGAAATGCAGATTGTAGTTTTTCCTTTAGAGCAGAGACGACTTTTATTTCCGCCCCCTCCCCTCCACATTCCTGACCTCTCCCTCCCCCCCTTCCCTCTTTCTTTCCTTCCTTCCTCCTCTTCCAAGTTCTGGGATTTTTCAGCCTTGCTTGGTTTTGGCCAAAAGCACAAAAAAGGCGTTTTCGGAAGCGACCCGACCGTGCACAAGGGCCATTTGTTTGTTTTGGGACTCGGGGCAGGAAATCTTGCCCGGCCTGAGTCACGGCGGCTCCTTCAAGGAAACGTCAGTGCTCGCCGGTCGCTCTCGCCTGCCGTGCGCCCCGCCGCCCGCTGCCCGCTGCCCATGGGGGAGATGCCGGGCGCGCTGGCCAGGGCCCGGCTCGAGTCCCTGCTGCGGCCCCGCCACAAAAAGAGGGCCGAGGCGCAGAAAAGGAGCGAGTCCTTCCTGCTGAGTGGACTGGGTAAGCGCGGTCGCCGGCCCCGCTGGGGACTTGGCTCACTTCCCCAGAGCGGCTCGGCTCCTGCCCGGCTCGCGGGCTCGTCGGCAGGGGCAGGCTTTCGTCGGAGTTCTGGGAGCCGGGGTCCCGGCAGCGGGAACGGGAGGACCTGGCAGGCAAGGTCGCGCGCTTCGCCCTGCGCCCCAGAGATAAACCCCAGAGGGTGGCGCGCACCGCCGGCTTGGGCTGGGGAGGGAGGTGGGGGTCCGGCCGCAGGACGGCGCCAGGCCGGGGAAAGGGAATCTGCAGGGAGGGAGTGAGCGAAGCCACCGTGGCCGCCGCGCACCCGCCGGGAAGCGCCTCGGCGCTGCGACCCCGGCTTTCTCGGGCGGCGAATAAATGAGAGGTGGAAAACTACCCTGGGCTCTCCGGCCCTCCCCGCGCCCTCCGCTGGCGCGTTCCCTCTCTCCTGCCTCAGGGGCCGATGGAGGCTGATAACGGCCCCGCGCCAGGCCCTCCCCGGACGGTCCTCGCGCCCCTGCCCGGGGCTCGCCCTCTCAATGGGGACAGAACCGCCCGCCGCAGGCAGCACCGCTGCCAGCAAACCTCGAGGCGGTCGGGGCGGAGGGAGGGGCGAGGCGAAGGGCGGGGCCGCTTCTCATTGTCGCGCAGGCCCCGCCCCCGCGGCGGTGCCTCGCCTATAAGGCCGAGCGCGCGGCCCGGCGCAGCATACACCGAGCGGGTCTCCGAGCGCTAACGTCTTCCTGTCTCCCCGCGGTGGTGATGACGGTGAAAACCGAGGCAGCTAAGGGCACCCTCACTTACTCCAGGATGAGGGGCATGGTGGCAATTCTCATCGGTGAGTGCAGGAATCTGGCGGGACTTATGCTCCAGGAGACTCAAAGTGGAAATTTTTTGAAAGTCCGGCATCAGATTAGTGTATGTGGCTCCGGACGTTATGAAGCCGTCTAAACGTTTCTTTATTTCTCCTCCTTAATCCACAGCTTTCATGAAGCAAAGGAGGATGGGCCTGAACGACTTTATTCAGAAGATTGCCAATAACTCCTATGCATGCAAACAGTAAGTTTGACGGGATTTGAGGAAATAAGAATAACTAGTCTGGTTTGAATTTGCCAGCAGTAAACATTCTCATCACGGCGTTTATCGGGAAGACGAAGACTTCTTCTGGGGTGGGAATCTCTTTTCTCCTTAAATTTTAATATATTAGACACATTTTAAGCATTAAAGTTAATTTGCTGTTTTGGCTTGAACTGGAGATGTAAGATAAATGGTTCGTGTCGGCCGAATTCACGCCCTTTCTCCATGAGCAACAATCCTTATTTCTGTATTTAACGGGGTTTATTATTTTCTTTAACTGAGTAATATATTGGGGTATTTTCAGTTTAAACACCGAATTATCCGGGTAGAAGACGGTAGAGCCAGAAACTGACTTTTGATGTTGGTGTGCCCCCTAGTGGCGAGCTGGATTCTGAATCGTGCCCTTTATTCCCTGCAGCCCTGAAGTTCAGTCCATCTTGAAAATCTCCCAACCTCAGGAGCCTGAGCTTATGAATGCCAACCCTTCTCCTCCAGTAAGTATTTTCTATGTGCAGTGCCTCTGTGGAGAACTGTAAGGGAGTCAGTTAGTATTCCTGCCTTAATGGTTTAAAATAGCATTTCTAGAATTTAGTATCAAAGCAGGAATGCTTCATTACTTTATGGCATAACAAGTGATAACAAATATTTAAGTATTCAGTCAGTATTATTTTATTTTTTCGTGGGCGTATTTTACCTCCAAAGTGGATTATTTTAAAAGGCATATTTCATTAAAAAGTTTTATCTGTCCAAAACAACATGATTGTGTGCAGTTTCCATACTCATTTGAAATGACTTGTGATGAAATGTAGTTTTGAATGTTTATAGATAGATGTATGGTCATTTGCCCCAGTCATTTGTAGATGTAACATCTTCTACATCGTTTATATTATAGATGTCCTCCTTTGAAGCAATGATATTAAAAGAAATCCTTTTCTTTTTTTCCTAGCCAAGTCCTTCTCAGCAAATCAACCTTGGCCCATCGTCCAATCCTCATGCTAAACCATCTGACTTTCACTTCTTGAAAGTGATTGGGAAGGGCAGTTTTGGAAAGGTAATTTCAAATCTGAAGATCTTTTGGTACACTTTCCTCATGTCCTCATTTTACATGCTCCCTGGATGAGGATAGAAAAATGATTTTTTTTTAAATTGAAATTTCAGGTTCTTCTAGCAAGACACAAGGCAGAAGAAGTATTCTATGCAGTCAAAGTTTTACAGAAGAAAGCAATCCTGAAAAAGAAAGAGGTATGAGATGTGCTTGATGAGGTTGGCATTGGAGGTAGACACTCCTTGAATAATCTAGATCTTGGAATTTTGGTGCCAAGTTGAAATATGCCACTAAATCTGAATTGTCATTTTCCTAGGAGAAGCATATTATGTCGGAGCGGAATGTTCTGCTGAAGAATGTGAAACACCCTTTCCTGGTGGGCCTTCACTTCTCTTTCCAGACTGCTGACAAATTGTACTTTGTCCTAGACTACATTAATGGTGGAGAGGTGAGCAGGGGGAATAGAAGACGTCAACTCTTAGTGTCTCTGCATAGCCTGCTTTGTTTTAGTTTAAGAAGAAAGTTTTTTCAAAGATACTTGGTGGGGAGAATGTTACCAGAATTAGCATTTCCTTCAACCTATCAGGTTTATAGTTAATAGATTACTTGGGGCTGCTTCCTGCAGTTGTTCTTTTGCTGTATATGTCAAAACTAATTAAGTTCATTTGCAACCCAGCCTGACTTTGTTCTGTCTCTCGCAGTTGTTCTACCATCTCCAGAGGGAACGCTGCTTCCTGGAACCACGGGCTCGTTTCTATGCTGCTGAAATAGCCAGTGCCTTGGGCTACCTGCACTCACTGAACATCGTTTATAGGTAAGCCTGAGAGCTCTTAAGGCTACCTGTTTGGGTATAAAGGAGACATAGCACTGGCTCTTTCATAGGACCTTAAAATAATTTGTGTTTATGTGCAACTTGGTTGCCTAAAACCAGATCCCCTAGCACGTGAGCTGGCTTGACTTCGTGCCAAGGGGGAATCAGCCAAGTAGGATTGTGCCTAATCCAGAATAGATGAGAACAAGGCTCCCTTTTTTCTTCACTATACAACTACAGTGAACCTAAAATGCCTCTAATACCTTTAGCAATTATCTTTAAGAGGCTATCTTAGGAAGTGAAATTAACTTGTGCAACTACTTTTCTATTTGCTTTTTTACAGAGACTTAAAACCAGAGAATATTTTGCTAGATTCACAGGGACACATTGTCCTTACCGACTTCGGACTCTGCAAGGAGAACATTGAACACAACAGCACGACATCCACCTTCTGTGGCACGCCGGAGGTAGGCGCCCTCTTGGTTTGGTGCCTGGTTTACCCCCGCCTTCCAGGAGAGAGATGTACAATCATGCCTTGAAGTACCAGGAAGAGTAAACTCCTTTCAGAAATTTCTTAGTACATTTCAGTGCAAATAAAATACATTTGCTGTTTGATGTAGCAAGAGAAATCCCAAGGCCTTCTGTTGTTTACTGAAAAGTAGCTGTTTGTAAGATCTGCATCATAAAAATTTTCTAAATCCCCAAGTAAGAGATACCGAGTGCCCAGCAGTTTCCTAAATGTTAGTACACATAGGTAGCCAGTCACCCTCAAGAAGTCCAGCAGTTTTATCAGGAAGGAATCTAAAGATATATGTCTTCCAAGCTGGCTCTGGGTCTCTCAGCTTTTTCAAACTAAATGTGTGGTTGTGGGATTGCCTGCTTTCACCCATTCTGAACTCTTGTTTCCCTGGTCTGTCTTTCAGTATCTCGCACCTGAGGTGCTTCATAAGCAGCCTTATGACAGGACCGTGGACTGGTGGTGCCTGGGAGCCGTCTTGTATGAGATGCTGTATGGCCTGGTGAGTGGCACTTTGGGAACCATGGAACACTACCTGCTCCCTACAATATTGTCTTCACACAGCCCATGCTTGGCCATTGTGTCTTGCCCTTTTCAGTAGGCTTATCAAATGCAGCTAAGAGGCATATTGGTCATTTTATATGTCATAAGAATAATCGCTTACCTAGTCATTTTGTGCATTTCACATTTTACTAGATAGGACCACACTTAACCTATGTGATGGTGAAAAACTACCGCTTATTAACATTGCAAAGTAGACACTTAAATAGCAAAGGAAAAGAAAGCATCGAGGTGGGGAGAGTTTCTCAAATGGAGCCTAGCATTTATTGCAGTTTACATCTTTTTCTCTGCCGGTAATATATGCCATACAAAACTTCCAATTAAGCCTAAAGTAATTTTCCCCTTCTTTCAGCCTCCTTTTTATAGCCGAAACACAGCTGAAATGTACGACAACATTCTGAACAAGCCCCTCCAGTTGAAACCAAATATTACAAATTCCGCAAGACACCTCCTGGAGGGCCTCCTGCAGAAGGACAGGACGAAGCGGCTGGGAGCCAAGGATGACTTTGTGAGTGACGTGTTCCTGTTCTCCGGGGCCAGCGGGGACGTGCACTAGACCTCCCTGCCCTTATTGAATGCACCTGTCTAAGTTAATCTTGGGTTTCTTATCAACAGATGGAGATTAAGAGTCATGTCTTCTTCTCGCTAATTAACTGGGATGATCTCATTAATAAGAAGATTACTCCCCCTTTTAACCCAAATGTGGTGAGTATCTGTCTCTTCTAAGTACAGTGAAGCCCAAAGGGCATTCCTTTTAATTCAGGATTGTCTAGGGGAGGGTTGGAAGGAATACATTGGCAGATGTTTCCTCCATAAACCCATTATTTTTCCTACATAAAAAGTACATGTTTGTGTCCCAACAAGGCTCCTGTAATTTTTAAGCACATTTATCAATAAAAGCATCAAAAGGCAAAAAGTGAACGTTATTCTTATGTTTAAACTGTGGGTAGCCTTTTGAGATTTTGTGCTTGAAATGGGTGATTATGGAAGTTGATGTAAGACTTAAACTTGGTATATAAAGCCTGGTCAGGATTTCCCTGTCCTGTGTCCAGTGTGAGTTCTTGACAAGCGTGTTCTTCTCTTCCCCTCACAGAGTGGGCCCAATGACCTGCGGCACTTTGACCCTGAGTTTACCGAAGAGCCTGTCCCCAATTCCATCGGCAAGTCCCCCGACAGCATCCTCGTCACAGCCAGCGTCAAGGAAGCTGCCGAGGCTTTCCTAGGCTTTTCCTACGCGCCTCCCACGGACTCTTTCCTCTGAACGCTGTTAGGGCTTGGTTTTAAAGGGTTTTATGTGTGTTTCTGAATGTTTTAGTTAGCCTTTTGGTGGAGCCGCCAGCTGACAGGACATGTTACAAGAGAATTTGCACATCTCTGGAAGCTTAGCAATCTTATTGCACACTGTTCGCTGGAAGCTTTTTGAAGAGCACATCCTCCTCAGTGAGCTCATGAGGTTTTCATTTTTATTCTTCCTTCCAACGTGGTGCTATCTCTGAAACGAGCATTAGAGTGCCGCCTTAGACAGAGGCAGGAGTTTCGTTAGAAGGCGGACGCTGTTCTAAGAAAGGTCTCCTGCAGGTCTCCCTAGGCTGTGATGATGAATATTATGAAATGTGCCTTTTTTGAAGAGATTGTGTTAGCTCCAAAGCTTTTCCTATCGCAGAGTGTTTCAGTTCTTTATTTTCCCTTGTGGATATGCTGTGTGAACAGTTGTGTGAGTGTGGTATGCCTGATCACAGATGGATTTTGTTATAAGCATCAATGTGACACTTGCAGGACACTACAACGTGGGACATTGTTTGTTTCTTCCATATTTGGAAGATAAATTTATGTGTAGACTTTTTTGTAGGATATGGTTAATAATTAAAATTTATTGAAATGGTCTTGCAATGACTCATTCAGATGCTTAAAGAAAGCATTGCTGCTACAAATATTTCTATTTTTAGAAAGGGTTTTTATGGACCAATGCCCCAGTTGTCTGTCAGAGCCGTTGGTGTTTTTCATTGTTTAAAATGTCACCTGTAAAATGGGCATTATTTATGGTTTTTTTTTTTTTGCATTCCTGATAATTGTATGTATTGTATAGAGAAAGTCTGTACATTGGGTTATAACACTAGTATATTTAAACTTACAGGCTTATTTGTAATGTAAACCACCATTTTAATGTACTGTAATTAACATGGTTATAATATGTACAATCCTTCCCTCCTCCCATCACACAACTTTTTTTGTGTGTGATAAACTGATTTTGGTTTGCAATAAAACCTTGAAAAATATTTACATATATTGTGTCATGTATTATTTTGTGTATTTTGGTTAAGGGGGCAGTGATGGGTTAGTTTAAAATTGAAAACCATGAAAATCCTGCTGTAATTTCCAGCTTAGTGGTTTGCTCCCAACAGCAGTGGTTTCTGACTCCAGGGGAGTGTAGGATGGTCTTAAAGCCAACCTAGATTCCAGGCCTTTTTAGCAGCATTTTATGGTGTCTGTCATTCATAAATCCATCCAAAGAAATCCTTTGCAATTTACTCATCTTGCAAGGATGGCTATGAAGTAATGCTTCCTGTATTTATTGCCCGTCCTGTGAAGTTGGACTATTTGTCCTGACATTTGGCTTGTCTTCTGTAACAGGTAATTCTTTCCAGAAATATCTGAAAGCCTGCTCTGGGCTGGGCTCTGTTCTGGGTGCTCAGGATATCGTAGTGGACAAAACAGACAACTCTTTGCCCTTCCAGAGCCTGATGAAGGCAGACTTAAAGCAGTTTGTTGAGATGGAAATTGAGAAATAGTCTCTGAAGTCTGGGAGAATGCCACTCAAGAGGGTGAGAATTTTTTTTTTTTTTTTTTTTTTTATGGTCTATGCTCTTTCTGCCGCCCAGGCTGGAGTGCAGTGGTGTGATCTTGGTTCACCGCAGCTTCCGTCTCCCGGGTTCAAGTGATTCCCCCACTTCAGGCTCCTGAGTGTCTGGGACTACAGTCATGCACCACCATGCCTGGCTAATTTTTGTATTTTAGTAGAGCTGGGGTTTTACCTTGTGGGCCAGGTTGGTCTCAAACCCCTGGCCTGGCCTCAAGTGATGTGTCTGCCTCGCCTTCCCAAAGTGCTGGGGAGAATGTTTTAAATAAGTGGATATGTTCCCAAAAAGCTGACCTGGCTGGATATCTGGTTTCTGAGAGTACCTGGAGTTGACCCAAGTCCACAGTGGGCTCAGTAAAGGGACCCTGAAGGAGCTCATCCCTGGCTTGGACTGAAGCCTTTTGAGCCAGTGTCTACCTAGCACCCTAAGGGCCCAGCAGGCTCTGGCTCTGGGGCTGCGTGGCAGAGCCCACTCCTAGAGCTCACCCCACTGTGATATGCTCTGCGGGAGAAAGCAAGGTGGCACCATCCTAGGAGATCTTGAGTCCGAAGTGTTTGTACTTTTTCACTCTTGTAGGCCTTCCACACAAATACCTAACAAATAATCAGGGAATCCCCAAACAGTTGATGTTGCTGCTGCCTTAATTGCACAAACCCCCTCCAGGCCTGCTGCGCCCCTGCTACCCTGACCTTCCAGTTTGTGCAGGGATTTCCCCAAGGGAAAGCTGTGAGTTTTTTTCCTCTTATCCTTGCTCCTGAGTGTTACCTCACTTTACCTTAGTCCCCCTCTCCTACCCCACAAGGTTTCCAAGGGCCAAACAGGTGTTCGGAGATAACTGAGTTCTTCTCCCTCATACTCTGATGAAGGAAAAAGATGAAAGCGAGTCAATAGCTTTTTGCCACAGGTCATGCTCTGCAGTTGACTTACTGCTCTACAGGCACTAGCTACGTGTTCAGTTCCCTACCCGGCCCAGTTGACAAATAAGAGTCCAAAGCGTGTATTTTCCTAGTAAAGATTGATGCCGGCATATTAGACTCATTGCATATTCCCCCTCATTCTTATTCTCAGTAAGTTATGAATTCCTCCTTGAACAAAAAGTGCTTAAATCTCATTTTCATCTGAACACAGTTCAACTTGGCTTAGGAATCTGCAAAGTAATTACAGATAACTCAGATGGGTCAGTCACGAGTTACAAAGCTTTTTTTTTTTATTTTTTGAAGGTAGAAGTCTGGTTTATTGGATTATAGTCCATCATTTCACATAGAAGATCTGAACTGTGTTTCTCCAGAATCGAAAGGTGCCACAGGAGACCCAAACATTGTCACCCAGATGGGAGATAAGATCAAGCACAAGTGGGTGGGAAGAGAACAAGGCAAGAACAGGGAAGTCAAGAAAGAACAAGAGATCAATAAACAAATGACAAATATTTACTAAGCACTGTGCTGTCAAATAATGTGTGGACAGAGGTATCTTTTACCTAACGGGGTGGGGCATATCCCTGCCAGCACATTCCCTGAGCCCCAGCCAGCCTGCCTTTGAGCAAGACAATTGATTGGAAAAGGGATACTTGTCTTCTCCAAAGCTCTCCAGCTGTAGACTCTCAAATATGGGTTTGGGGGAATCAAATCAGCTAAGATTCTCATAAGCTAAAATGTGACTCTAAAACCACCGCTACCAAAAAGAATAAGTAAGTCACTCCCTTACAGAATTTGCCATCCACCTGGGGAGACAGGGCACCTACCCTTAATATGTGACAGGCAGTGAACGAGGGGTAAAGGGAACTTCAGAATTCCCGAGACTCTCTGTGGGGTTGGGTGCCTACAGCAGGCTTCACAGAGGTGAAGCGCTAAGATTCTTCCTAACCAATTCTAGGAACTCTAATAGAATACAGGCCCTGAGAACCAGATTATAATTGTACTAGCTAATTCTACTGAGCTCTTATTATGTGTCAGACATTGTTCTAAGTTTTTTGTTTTTTGGTTTTTGTTTTTTTTTTTTGCTTGTTTGTTTTTGAGACATGATCTCTATCGTCTGGGCTGGAGAACAGTGGTACAATCATGGCTCACTGCAGCCTCAACCTCCTGGACTCAGGTGATCCTCCCACCTCAGCCTCCCAAGTAGCTGGGACTACAGGCACATGCCACCATACCTGACTAATTTATTTATTTTTTTTAATTCTTTGCAAAGACGTGTTTTCACCATGTTGCCCAGGCTGATCTCGAACTCCCTAAGTGCCGGGATAACAGGCATAAGCCACCACGCCTGGCTGTTCTAAGTAGTCGGTACTCAAGGTGTTTACTCTTCATAACAACGCTGTGATGTCAAAAGTAAAGAAACTAGTACAGAACGGTCATTAGATGGTCAGTAATCTGGCCCCAAAGCCTATGCTTGTAGCCATTACTTTATCCTGCCTCAGAGGTGACAAAAGAGTACAGAAGCAAACAGCTGTGAGCTTGTTAGTGATCCATTTATTAATTCACCAGACTTTTACAAAGATACCTTCTAGATGTCATGCTAGGCAAAAATAGGGGGATGGAGAAGGAGAGGGAGAGAGAGGGAAAATTTGTAATTACAGACACTATCAGTGATTGATGAAGATGAGAAGCAGCTACAAAAATATACATTGCAGTGGGAGTATGACTTAGTGCACCATTTTGGAAAACTGCTTGGCAGTATCTGCTAAAGATGAAGATATGTATAACTTGTTGCCCAACAGTTCTCTTCCACGGTATAGACCCCAAAGAGTGCACATATATGCAATAAAAAAATTTGCAATAGTGTTCAAAGTAATACTATTTATGACAGCCCCAAAATGGGAACCATTCAAAATGCCTACCTATAGGAAAATGAATAAAGAAATTAGAGTGGTTTCATATACTGAAATACTACACAATGAAAATGAGTGAATAATTGCTGTACACAACAAGGAATAAATTTCACAAACACAACCCAGACTGTATAATTTGATTTATATAAAATGTAAAAGCAGGCAAACAGCATGAATTGATTTGGAAGTTAAGATGTGATTACCTTTGGGGAGGAAGGCAGAGCTCATAGTTGAGAGAGTGCATAAGGGAGACATCCTACCAGGTGCTGTTAATTTCTTGATCTGATCTTGAGCTTGATCTTGATTTCATCGAGCTATACACTTATGATACATGCATTTTTCTCTGTATGTCTTATATAACAAAAATGTGCATTACAAATACGTGGTATGATTAAAACAGGGTGTTTGTGTACAGAGGAGTGACACCTTACCCAACTTGGGGGCCAGGAAATGGGAGTACATTTTTAGGTAATTTAGGAAACAGATGCTTAGGGAGATATAGAGAACCCAGGTAGGCTGTCTTGGAGAACTGGATCCTGAAAATGAGGCAGAAAGGCCATTGCACAGTCAGGCTTGTAGTGGGGGCCGGAGGGGACTTGACGTAGGGCAGAATCTCAGCTCTATTGACCAGCTTTCTTTTCTTTTCTTTTTCTTTTTTTTTTTTCCTTTTTTTTTTTTTTTTTTTTGAGATGGGATTTTTAGAAGAGGCAGGGTTTTGCCATATTGGCCAGACTGTTCTCAAACTCCTGACCTCAGGTGATCCACCCACCTCGGCCTCCCAAAGTGCTGAGATTACAGGCACGAGCCACCGCGCCCAGTTGAAGATAATTTTAAGTTGGGAGATGGACCATATCTTTCATGTTCTTGATAATCCCATAGGTGAGACGTTTAGGCTTCATCAGATACCAAAGAGAAGCATTTGAAGGTTTTCCATGAGGAAAGTGAAGTGATTCAAAGAGTGTTTTACTGGCTATCACTAAGAGAGCAGAGAAAGCTTTGAAATTAATACAAAAGAAGCCCTTTGGGAGACTTCTGACAGTCATCCCAGTGGTGGTGGGGAGTAAGGACAGAGCAGACACGTTTCCACATTCCCAGGTCAATGAGACTTAGTCAGTTACTGAGAATGGCGGAAGACAGATGAATCCAAAGCAAAGCACATTTCATGAATTTACTTCTTTAATGTACTTGACAACTTACTGAAGCAGTTGTCACAGCTGCAATAATAGTTTCTAGGACAAAGGCCGCCCACCGGTTTCTTCAACATCCCCAGGATATAATCAATCAGCCAGTCAATAATCAATCAATTTAATTGGCAAGGCAAGACATTATGCCCTGTAGTCAGTCTCTAACCTATCCTGCTAAGTAATTTCTCTCCTCATCCATCAACAAGCCCCTAAAATCCAGCCTAGACAACAAGAACAAAACTCCATCTCAGAAACAAAAAACAAAGAAAGAAAGAAAAAAAGTCTCTAAAATCCTGTGTAACTTGAGCCTTGTACTAGGGGCATAGCAATGTTAACACTTTCCCTGGTGTTAACTAGAACAATATTTCTATTAACAAAAACAACAAACCTGCACATATATTCCCTGACTCTAAAC